AAACAGTTCGCTTTATGAGGAGAGGAGGGGAGGGGAGTGGAGGGGAGGGATCACTTAGTAGCCACTGGCAAGCAAATACTAGAATTTTATATATTTACCTGTATTAGACAGTTAACCAGTATTTTAGGTTAGTTTTTCATGTGGCTCCACATTAGTCTGCCACAGCTGGACCTTACATGTGACAAAGCTGTATGATCAGATGCCAATTCCTGTTGATTTTAACTCAAGCTGATTTAATGAATTTGCCATTTCCCCAAGTTCATAAGAGTCTGTATATTTAATATTATTTTTCTGGTGCAGCTGTAGCAAGAAATCAGACAGGAAATCAACCCCTTTCAGGATGCAAATAAATGTCAGTCTCTGGTAGTGCACACTAGTCTGCATAGCCACTACAGCAGTGTGTTTCTCCATCTCTGGCAAAGCAATGCTTTATAAAAACAAAACAAAACCCAAACACACACCCAACCCAAAATCTCAGTGTGCTAGCACTCTACATGGTTTCATTTTTTCTTTTTATTTTCTTTTTTTTTAATATAAAAGCCAAGGGAATTTTAAATTTTGGTTTTTTTACCAAAAATTTGGCAAAGAAGTTCTGAAAAAAATACTACTCGATTTTCTTGCTAGAAGGAGCCTCATTTTAGATTCATCTATCAAAGAACGTAAAGGATGTACCACAGCATCATCTTGTTTATCAAACTAAAAATTAAGGTATCTGTTCTGCACAACCTGCACATAATAAAACCCCCACCCTCTTAAAGAAGTTATCTTCCTGCTTATCTAAATCTTACCTCACTCTTTTCATGTAAGAATGGAAGCAGTAAAATTAAATGGAAAGAAGATTTTTCCAATGGGATTCCCTGGCAAACAGAAACTTTGTGGCACTTATCACCATTGGACAGAGATCACAATAGAAAGCAATTCATTACAAGATGGGGAAAGGAGTCAAGGTACAAAGTCTCATTACCCTTCTGAGCAATACAGCAACAGAACAACTGGAATTTATGCATCAGCTTACAAGCTGGTCTTGCTCCAACTTCATCACGTCGGTCCTTCCTATCCTATTGTGTTTGTATGTGAGGTTGTGGAGGTTTTGATTTTTTTTCAACAGGCAGAGCTGGAGACAGTGAAAACACGCAACAGTCCTCGATATACACAAAAGTTATATAGTCACTCTGAGTTAAGGCTGAATTAAAGCAACGTAGAGATAAGCAGGCAGATTTGTAAACTACCTTCAAAAGTAAGGA